ATGCGGGTCGAATGCCTTAGATAGCCACAGCGGGTTGTCAGGCGTGGAGGTAACACTGACATCAATAAAGTCAGACACAATTAAAGTCGTACTGGGTAGAAAATAAGGGAGAAAAATCTTACTTGAGCGGTTTTGTGTCTATAGAGATATTAAGAGGTTTTCCAAGCAGATGAGAACCATCTTGTATGTGATGGTTACTGGAAAAGAAATCAGTGACCAAGACATTTCTTGGATCTTTTGGAAATAAATCAGTTCTGACAGAAACGTGTGAGTGGCACTCCGAGAACGGACAAATGGCTAACTAAAAATAACAACGAAGACAGAAGGAGTACGTAAAAAGCCATGCATGTAAGTCAATTTTGTATACAAGTGCATTAATAGGTAAAAATTTAATGAGTCTGCATGAAGAAAGTCTCGAAAGCACTGAAAAAACTACGGAAAGCTTACAAACTCATCCATTTTCTTTTGGCTGTCTGGGTTGAGCTTTTCCAAAAACTGCAGAGCATGGTAAGAGTATCGGTCAGCGACATATACACCGATGGCGGAGTCCAAATGATGCTAAACGGAGAAGTCGTACGAATATAAAATCTTTACCGAAAAAGAGTCCTCGCCAATTTTACTGCTTCCGATCGTTATAACGTTCGGAGAGTAAATTTTCTTCCCCATCGATTCAGCCTGACACGTATCAGTAATATGTATGAGATGATTGAACCTATATAAAAAGCAAGCGGCGAAAAAAAGACTTTAAGGAATGCGAATACCAGGAATGACACAGAAAAGGGAGTATTTAAATTAGGATTGCAACAATCTTATTAAGGATGAATTGGCTACTTCCACATTTACAATAGCAAAAAAGTAAGCTAACTCACATACTTGATTAACGGTCAATCTAGTCAATTACAGAATAAATGGTGCAAACCGACAATAAAAGGGAATTTGCGAGAGAGAAAATAAATTCTTTATCTGGATATCAAGTAGAATCAGGTATGTCTAGCAGGTTTTCGCGGAAAGGCTTTGGACATTGAATAAGACCACAAACTAACCTTCGACGGAGCCACATCTGGTTAATTACATCGGCAAGCTCATCACTAGAGAGTTCTGAATCATCCTGAAACTTCAAGAACCCATCACCTCCATGCCCTAAACAGATTCTCACCCAAGGTAAATAAACCTACCTGTCATGTAAATGAGTATATTACTGAATTGGTCACTGTTTAGCCGCTTAGATGAGGGTGCCGAGGGAGGCAAGCGTCCAGTAACTACTCGTATGAAATTGTCAACTGTGACTTCATATCCTCGATAATCCACCTCAATGTCGTCACCGTAGAGATCGATTGGATTATATGCACTTTGGTAAACGGTGCCTGAAAGTCAGCTGAGAAGAGTAATTTACCAGGCCTAGGATTCCTGGGATTACAAGCATAATGATCTGCAACCATTAAAATGATTCGGCTGGGAGGAGTAAGGTTAATGACAAGCAAACCTGTCAGGAATGCCCAAACGCTTGATGCTACGGTAAACACCCAGTATATTTCCAGCATGACGGTAATTGAACCAGAACCGTGATGTATCTACTAAGACGGCCCAGTTATTTGTATGTAAAGCATCACACAACGGCAGAAGAAAGAGATATAGAGAGAAGAGCCCAGGAATGGTACGCATCAGTGATGATTTCATATTGTGCGGGCTTAAACGTCGATTTAAACAAATTAAGAAAACAAAGCAAAAGCAATACTTATAGTAAATTTAAAAAAAA